ACAGCACGTCAGATGGGGAGGAAAAATATTATTTGGAAGGATTTTATTAGTTGGTTTGTAGGAATTACGACAGTGAGCAGTATGCTAATAAAAATAAATATTAATTATTAATTCCAAAATGACGAAATGCCAGGGGAGCATAGGAAGAGCTACTGCCTCCAGCCCCATACCAGCCACCAGGGTTTCCGTGCCTCAGTGATGCCCACTACCTTGGATGCTATTAAGCCATGAGTGCTATTTTTCTTGTAAGTCCAGGCCTACGAGAAGTTCAGTTTAAGAATTAGGCACAGCCGGGTCTAGGGGCACATGACTGCAATCCCAACACTGAGGAGGCTGAGGCAGGAGGATGGCCACCAAGTTCGAGGCCAGGCTAGGCTAAAGAGAGGGTGTTTCTAAAGAAAGAAGAGGAAATGAGCACAGTAAGAGATCAGTGGGGCAAGCACAACATTCTGCTGCGGTGAAAGCTCAGGGCAAAACAAGCCGGCTTTCCGGGCGCCTGCGCAGGGAGAGCCCTGCACCCACTCGAAATGGCCTGCTGGCTGGCTGAAGATCAACTTCACCAGAACTGCTACAGCCACAAGGGAGGGCAGAAGGCTTGAACACGTGTCCAAGGGACATTTCTGGAAGTCAGGATATATTCTCCTATGTTTTCAAACGGAATGACTGGATTTGTTTCTGTTCATAATCACCAGGACAAGCTCAGTGGGGAAATACACCGGCCAGCAACACACCAAAACACTCTGCCTTTTTCTCATCTCCACAGGATTTTCAAAAGTTAACAGGTTTTGTCAGTCAGCAGGATGAATTCGGACAGTAGCTCCTGACGTTGTTCTAAGGAGCATAGTTTTTTAAAAAAAAGTTTTTAAAATTGATGTTCAGCCTTGACAGAATTTTGTCAACAAATTTCCGGAGCACAAATTTTATTGACAAACATAAATTATTTCAAAATCCACTTTGGAGATTACTTTAAAAAAATTTTTTTTTTGTAACATAACTCCAACCATGCAATGGATGTGGCAGGGTGAAGCCAGCCCAGGGCAGCCTCGCAGCCCAGGGTGACCAGGCAGTGAGAGTGGGGGAGGGCACACTAGGACAAGAGCAGCCAGCCGGCACCAGTGGGCCCAGATCTGGGGATGCTCAGCCGGGGCACAGGGTGAGGACGCAGGCTCAGCCAGCGCACAGGGGACCGGCACTGAGTGCGCTCCGCAAAGCTGGTCAGGCCATAAAATATTTGTGAGTTAAAGTGGGAACTGCAGGGGGCTGGAGAGATGGCTCAGAGGTCAAGAGCACTGGTTGCCCTTCCAAAGGTCCTGAGTTCAATTCCCGGCAACCACATGATGGCTCACAACCATCTACAATGAGATTTGGTACCCTCTTCTGGCTTGCACGCATACGTTCAGGCAGACTACTGTATACATAATAAATAAATCTTAAAAAAAAAAAAAAACAGAATAACTTTAAAAAGAAATAAAAATAAAGTGGGAACCGCCCTAGCAAGGCAGCATAAACGCTATCAGGTGCTGGCAGGCTCTGGGACTAACGGTCAGGGACGGTTCAAAAGTCTGATTATTTCACAGTTGGAACCAGAGCTCACCAGGACCGGTGAGCCTGATAAGTTATCCACACCTTGAGAGCCCGTCAGTGTGGGAGCCGACCCCGCCTCCAGTCCCGTCTCTACTGGTTTCTCTCCTTTATCTATCACTCTCTGAGTGGAGGCAGTTTTATCCTGAAATCACAAGCTGTATTCTCAGGCACCTTACGTTTCTCTGGAAAACAACTGCCAGAGACAGACACAGGAGCCTTCTGCTTGGAAGAAGTGCTTAGCTGTTGTCTGGGTCTCAGGTAAAGCAAGGCCATAAGTAATGTCCCAAGGCTCTTTATCAAAACACTAATATAAAGAGACTGCAAAGGGTGTTTCAGGCTCGGGGAGATGGCTCAGCTGTAAGAGCCCTTGCTCCAGGCCTAAAACTGAGCTGGAGCCCCAGGGAGAGGAGAGCACCAACTCCCACACGCTGTCCCCTGACCTCCACACAGTGGCCGACCCCCTGTCCACCGCGGCAGGTGGCTCCAGCGTCTGTCCTGGCGTCTCACTCCACCTTCCAGAGAGCTCGGCCTGGGACTGACTCCCTGACGCGAACAACTTAAGAAAGGAAGACTTTGTGGTGGACTCTATGGAATATGACCCTTTTTTCCTTTTTGGTTTTTCGAGACAGGGTTTCTCTGTGTAGCCTTGGGTGTCCTGGACTGGCTTTGTAGACCAGGCTGGCCTTGAACTCACTGAGATCAGCCTGCCTCTGCCTCCCGAGTGCTGGGATTAAAAGTGTGCACATCCGGGTTTGTCCTTTTTTTAAAGTTTTGGTGGCATTATGAGTGTAATTTTTCAGATTTCTTTCTTTCTTGTGTGTGTGTTTTGTGTGTAGAGGATAACCTGTGGGGGGCGGCTCTCTCCTCCCACCGCCTGAGTTCAAGGAAGGAGCTGTGGGCATCATTGGCAGCAAGCATTTTCGGCTTTGGGGCCATCTCCCTGGCCCTACCCTCCCATAGTTTACAGAAGAGGACAAACAGTGACCAAGTGAGCTCACGCCATATTAGCCCGAGGCTGTGCATTCGGGAGACTCTAGCATAGCACATTTGAGGATATCCCATTAAACAGAATATATTTTAAGATTAAACCCTAGGCTGGGCGCTGGTGGTGCTGTAGTCCCAGCACTCGGTAGGCAGAGGCAGGTGGAGCTCTGTGAGTTTGAAGCCAGCCTGGTCTACAAAGTGAGTTTCAGGACAGCCAGGGCTACACAGAGAAACCCTGTCTCAGAAAAAAAAAAAAGTTCAGCCCTATTATGTCCTGCAAATGTTATAACCAATTACACGGTCTGTACAAATATGGAATTAGTTGTAAATCTGCTTATACGGTACGTATATAACCAGTTACACTCTAACTGTGCCCAGTGTTCCTTCTTCAGAATCTCAAATCGATTAAAAGGCAATTTAAAACTTGAAGTTTTGGGGTTGTATGCTTGTTTTTGAGACAGAGCCTTGCTGTATGACTAGCCCAGCCCGGAACTCCCTGTGTAGACCACACTGACCTGGAACTCAGAGAAACACCTACTTCGGCCTCCCAGTGCCGGGGCTGGAGGCAGACAGCACCTTGGGAGGGAGGTTTCTTTATGTGTGCGTGAGTGTTTTGTCCGCATGCACATCTGTGCGCCACGGCACTGCCCAGTGTCAACAGAGACCATGGCCCTAAGAGCCAGAGTTCCAGAAGTTCACAAGCTACCATGCGGCACTGGGAGCCAACGCTGGGTCCTCTGTCGAGTCATCTTTCTAGCCCAAAGAGGCAATTTATGGCTCTTTCTGAGCCTACTTCGTGCCAACGGTCGAAAGGCGAGACCCTCTCAGCACTGAGGGCACACCTGATCAGGCGGCGCTTCTGCACTTCTTCCTCAATGCTGCCCATCTGTGTGCCTTCTACGCCCCACCCGTGCCCCATGCCCCCTCCATGCCTCTCCAGCAATCCCTGTGTCACCTCTCCCTGGTCAACTGTTCAGGACAGGCACGGTCCTGTTTGTCCCCAGACCTCTATCTCCCTTCTGTACCTTCATCCGACAAATACAGATGCTACGAGCTAAAGCCAACACCAGAACAATAGCATCTGCGCTCAGGAACGGGCTCTCAGCATGGGGCAGGAGAGAGCCCAACCAGCCAGCAGAAATCTGCCTCCTCTGACAGGAGGAGGCTGTCGAGGGAGACCCACAGTCCCTGAGGCCAGCTGCCTCAGCCCCTTCTTCCTTTCTGTTCTTGGGTAAACTGTGGCTGGGAGAATGGCAGCGTCGCCCCTTGAGGACGGGGCGACCCCCGCCTGCCTCAGCTCCTAGCGCATACACAGGGCTCACTCACTGCTGGTCTGCTTCGGGGGTTCTGTTTTGGTTTGTTGTTTTGGTTTGGTTTTTTGAGTGCAGCCCTGGTTAGCCTTCAACACGAAACTCCTGCCTCCGTTTCCTGTACTGGGATTCTAAGAGTGGGCCATCACACCTGGAACTCACTGTATATTCTTTTTTTTAGGGGGTGGGGGTGGTTTCAAGACAGGGATTCTCTGTGTAGCCCTGGCTGTCCTGGAACTTGCTTTGTAGCCCAGGCTGGCCTCGAACTCACAGGCAATCTGCCTGCTCCTGCCTCGCTGAGTGCTGGGATGACAGTTGGGCGCCACCATGCTCAGCTTTCCCTTTTATTCTTAATGAACTAGCTAACTTTTTGAAGTGACATGAAGATGTCATCATTTTAAAGCTGTAGGAGAGAGTGCAGAGAGTCTCCTGAGAGCCCAGACTACAGAGCAGGGCTCGGGTGGCTTAGCTGGACTGTCACCGCCATCTAGTGGCAGAACAGTGACATGATGCCTTGAGCGCATGGGTGAACTGTTAAAGCCTCGATTGTCTGTTTTCTTTCTTTAAATAAGCTGTAAACTAATTTTTTTTTTTTTTTTTCAGTACTGAGGAATGAACCTAAGGCCTCAGCCCCAACTTAGGTAAAACTAAAATTAAGAAGTGATAGCTAGCCGGGCGCAGTGGTGCACGCCTAGAGTCCCAGCACTCAGGGAGGCTGATTTGGGGCCTGCCTGGTCTACAGAGAGTCCAGGACAGCCAGGGCTACAATTACAACAAAAAGGTGACGACCAGCCTTTACTCCCAGGACTCGGGAGGCGGAGGCAGGTGAATCTCTGATGTTGTAGGCACCTGTGTGGGATGGGGGAGGGACAGCAGCTAAGGGTTGTGAGCACAGCTGTAATGCCAGCACCATACTGAGGCCAAAGAATCACAAGTTCAAAGCTAGCCTGAGCTACCCAGGGAAGACCAGACAGCAGGAGAGATAGGGGCGAGGAAGGGGACCCCAGATGAGAGCTAAGTTCTTGGGAGAGAGAGGAGATGGCCCAGGACAGGGGGAGGCGCCAGGGAGGGGAAGAGAGGAGAATGGTCCAGGACAGGGGGAGGCGCAGGAGGGTGCTGTACTTGTCAAAGTTCACGTCCAGCATGCCTGCTTTCTCTGAGCTAACTCGCAACAGCGGCGTGTCCAGCCGTTTGATGCAGTCCTTGTCCAGCGTTGCCGTCCACTCCTGGAAGGTTTTTCGGATCAGTTCATCAATGGTTTGGACCATCTGCTGGTAGGTGTGTATACTCTCCTCTCCCGTCCCAATATGGGGCAGGAAATGGGCTCCCGAAAGGCACTGAGGGCAGGAACAGACGGGAAGCCCGTTATACAGACCTGCTACACGCGTGCACACTCAGGCTCACAGCCACCCCTTGGGCCCTGGAAGGAGAGTGCAGCTCATGAGCTAGCGGGAGGACAGGGCCGGACAGAAAGCCGTGCGCACCGAGGAGACTCAGGGGAACAGCTGGCAGGAAGGGTAGACCGAAGACAGAGAGGCCCTCGGGCTCGGGCTCAGGGCGTCCCAGGCTCGCCTCAGCCCGCTGGACCCCAGCCGCCCTTACTCTCTCTCTCAGAATAAAGCAGGGATCGTGGGTGCCAGCTCACATGCCTTTCACTGTACCTTTCCCCCCAAAGTTTGTTTTTTGTGTTTGAGTTTTCCGAGACAGGGGTTTCTCTGTGTAGCCCTGGCTGTCCTGGACTCTGTAGACCAGGCTGGCCTCGAACTCACAGAGATCCGCCTGCCTCGGCCTCCCGAGTGCTGGGATCACAGGCGTGCGCCACCACACCCAATTTATTTCTCTTTTCTTTTTTTCTTTTTTTTTTTGGGCGGGGGGGGGGGTCAGAAGCTTGTTTTTACATAGGAGGGTACAGGATCTCACTGTCGTGCTAGGTTGGCCTGGCCTGGCCTCATGGCTGGCCTCACAGCTGCCCAAGTGCTAGGACTACAAGCTATGCCTACCACAAAAATTGTTTAAATCCACCCACCAGGCCGAGGGATGGTGGCACAGGCCTTTGATGCCAGCACTAGGGGGCAGAGGAGGTGGATCTCTGAGTTTAAGGCCAGCCTGGTCTACAGAGTGAGTTCCAGGACAGCCAGGGCTACACAGAGAAACCCCTGTCCAAAAAAGAAAGAAGGAAAGAGAGAGAGAGAGAGAGAGAGAGAGAGAGGAAGGAAGGAAGGAAGGAAGGAAGGAAGGAAGGAAGGAAGGAAGG